AATGCGCCGGGGGCGGAGCCGTGGCTTGAGTGGCGTTTGGCCTTGGCCAATCACACGGCGAGGGATCCCTGCAGCGTTTCTTCCCTCCTTCCCCTGCGCATTCGGAGAGGCGGGGCCTCGCCCCGAGCGGGTTGACGGCTGATTCCACCAATCGGAGCGCGAGGGATCTCCTCCTCGCCCCTCCCACCGCTCGCCGTGACGCCATTCGTAGGCGGCGCGGCGGGATTGGGCAGCCTCAGAGGGAGGCTCTGATAGACGGTTAAAGGAGCCAATAAGGGCCAGGGTCCCCCCGCCCCTCCCACCTGGCTACCAGGTTCCTCTGTGGAGTGGCCCTAGCAGAGCGTGGATGGGCGCGGGTTGAGGGGGCTGTCGGCTGTTTTTTGCTTTCTCTGTATCTGCTGTCATGGGGGTTAGATTTTATTCCGTTTTTGAGGGTTTCTTTGTTTCTGTCTTCTCAATTTGAGGGAAAGCAAGTTTCGAGGTCTTCATAAAATCACAGAATTATTATGGTTGGAAAAGCAGCTCTGCAGAGAAGGACCTGGGTGTCATGGTGGATGACAAGTTGACCATGAGGCAGCAGTGTGCCCTCGTGGCCAAGAAGGCCAATGGGATCCTGGGGTGCATTAAGAAGAGCATCTCCAGCAGGTTGAGGGAGGTGATCCTGCCCCTCTACTCAGCCCTGGTGAGGCCACATCTGGAGTGTTGTGTCCAGTTCTGGGCCCCACAGTACAAGAGGGATGTGGAGCTGCTGGAGAGAGTCCAGCGCAGGGCTACAAGGATGATCAGGGGCCTGAAGCATCTGCCCTATGAGGAGAGGCTGAGGGAGCTGGGCCTCACCAGGGCTGAGTAGAGGGGCAGGATCACCTCCCCCGACTTGCTGGAGACGTTCTTCTTACTGCGCGGCCGCCTTGGCCACGAGGGCGCACTGCAATAAAATGTACTCCTTGTCCATGAGACACCTAACCTAACCTGAGATACTTTGTAGAATAGGAGACATACTTAGAGTAATACTCAATCGCTACCAAGTTATGGTGAGCACTTGGAGTTACACATGCTCTTCCGTTACTCTCTGTAGTGTATCACAAAACCAACACCACATAACATAGCTCTTGCAAAATTGGGTATAGGCACACACCGTCTTGCCTGTGACAGCAGCAGCTGTAGAGCTGCGCGCCTGTCCCTCCCCTGCCAATATTGGATTTATGCCTGAAATGCTGATGGAGACAAGCAGAATGGCTCAAATCAGTAGGATTGTAAAGCTGCTAGGGGGCATGGTGGATGGATGTGGTGAGGCTTGAGATGGAAATGTAGTCAATAGTGCAAAACAAGGAAAGAAGTGTGTGGGAAGAATTCTGTGTCGTGTTTTTCACCTTCACCTAAATCAAGATTTCTTACAGATGGGTTAAGAAAGGGAACAAGGGGATGGGGCAGATAAGACTGCTTTAAGAAGCCTTTTGTTTTATATCTATGTTACTACCTTTCTTTGTGTTGTAAATCTGAATGCCTTAGCACTCATTTGAAATTTTATTATGATTATCTTGACACTGTTTTTCACTAAGGGTGTTGTGCAATACTAGAAATAGAAAACAGTTTTGTGCTTGGATATTTTCCTATTCCTTTTCTGCTCGTTTTTCTTCTTGAAATCACAATGGAAATAGAGTTTGAAAATAAATCTTTCACCTCTATCTTTGTTTTCCTGCTGCCATGTTGTTTTCCTCATTGGGAAACTAACAAGCAGCAGCAATGTTTTATTACGAAGCAGTCGTATTGTCACTGAAAACCGTGAATAAACCTGCTAACACCAATGTAGTATTAAGAAGCAGGTATTTGCTTTATTGCAGCACTGAGTGCTCCACCTATCGTGCACACCCTAAGGCGTGCTTGCTAAAACTTTTATTTCTCTATTATCTGTATATGCATTAAACACCAGGACTGATCATACATATTCTTTCTATTTCTCAGAACTAATTACAATCTACCCCACCCTTGTGCACCCTCTGTCACTTTGGTGGTCTCTGGTGGTCTTCTGAGACCCCCTGATGGTCCTCTCACGTTGTCCACTCTATGACGACCCGGAACTCACATCCACATATGGCCCCATTCTGGCTGAGAGGCCCTGTTTTGGTTCTGCTGCCCGGTTCCAGACAGTTCTTTGAAAATACGGTGGTCCTTATCTTCGTCTTCAAACAATCTTTTCTGTTTTGTCCATATTCTCTCATGATGTCCCAGGAACATCTGCTGTTTTGTCTATATTTTTCGGCGACAACAGTGAAAACGTGTCCTTGGGTGCATTCTCTTCTGTTTTTTTTCATAACAGTATGACTAAGCCAGTACACAGGTTCTTGGTGCTCCTTGGATATCGGTATGCTCATAAAGGCCAGTACCACAGAGTTACACCATCAGTTTGCAGACTGGCAGGCTTCTAGCCATTTTCCCTAGCCTTAGTTTAGAGCCACAGGTGTGGCTCTGAGGGTGAGCTGCCCATGGTTTGGTGTGCAGATGTTTCCATGTCAGTCGTGATCTTGTAGTTCAGCTCATGTTGATCCTGCCCATTTCATAGCAGGCCTTCCTACACCCCTGTCTGTTACCCCATCAGGACCCGAAAGCCCTCCTGAAGCTCTGGGTGCTACTGAACACACTTTAAATATGTTTTTATAATGACATCGATGATAGGGGGAGAATATGGCTGTTAGGATGTCTGATAAAAGTAAACGAACACAGGCTCTGTAGGTTGGGGCTGCAGC